TGTATTTGTCTGCGTTAAAGTGGAAGTTCCATATGCATACTACATTACTCCTTAATAATTGTTTAACCAGCTTGAAAACTGAGGGATGGGCTTTTGAAGCACGGGGAGTATCATCAGACTCAAACCAACAAAGCACAAACTTGACTCTCAGTACAAAATGTGAAATGACATTTTCAATTATGCTGCACAAAGAAGCAAGACTGCTGAGAAAACTGCAGAGTTGCCAAGTAATTTCTGGATCTGATACCTCTTTCACTTACTGTTTTTTATAAACTGGTCATCAACCAAAAGGAGTATTTCATTCTAAGTTGTATGAAGCAGTATAAGTAAGATTCAGAGATGAACAGATTTTGGCAAGCTCACTATCCGTTAGGGTAACTATGCAATCCATTTATTTTAACAGGGTCAGTGTCAGAAGCACTGCTACTAAGTTATTGAAAGTAAGACAGCTGAAAGGAGCACTACAACACTTTAAAAATCCTTTATCTGGCGAACCAAAACAAGCCAGTCCTGTGCCCTGTTGATTTTCTTTCCTTTTTCCACTTGTTCTGCCATTACTGATTTCAGTTCCATGTTTTCCTTTGTTACCAAGCTCCATCAGCATTATCAGTTCCTATCAGTTTTTCACTACTTTAGCCCCACAGCTCAAACTGCATTTGTCTCTTATGCAAGCTTTTCCCCCTAATGATGAAAATCACCTCCAAACACAAGAAAACTTTTCTTCCCCTAAAGAAAATCCAGCTTCTACCTTAATTATACTGGTGTCTTTTCCAGCAATTTTCTGTTCAGAAGCAACTCTGTCCCCTTTCAATCTAAACAAATTATTTCCACTTTGTATCAGTTCTCCAACTATTTTTAACAAACTGTCTCTCCAGTACCCAAATAGACTCCCAGCCACATCTCCAACATAAGTTTGTACCTCGTTCATTAAGCCTATGCAGAAGCCTACAACTTAGTTACTTTTTGTGACTACCCCCTGAAAATGCAAATCTTTCCCACCCCGACATAGAAGCTATTTGCCACACTAGCAAGTTTAGCTGATATTGCACTCTTCTTTGTATACTGCACTTATCCTTAGTTCCTCCTAGACAGGAAAGTTCTCGTTATTCCACTGTAAAAGAAGGGTCTTAGATCTCTGCTCCACTGAGAGATCCTGGGTTCACTGGGGATAAATGGTTACACGAGGCTGAGGGTTTTCTTGCCTGGGTCCTGGAAGGCAGTAAAATTTGTATCCTTCTCTTTGCTGTAGGTTCCCTGGGGCATGCTCTAATTGACAGCTGAAAAACACGTAGAGCAGCATTATTTTATCCCCTTATCACATCAAGGAGGTGGGTAACCACCACTGGGCTTCCCAGACAAAATATAGAGCAAATGGACTTGAGGGCAAATTTATGAAATGTGATGAACTAAAAAGATGGGATCAACAGATACCAAATTCTTTTTGTAGAAGAAATTCAGCTGTCTCTTACAGAAAAGGAGCCTATGATAAATCTATATAACAGTAAAAAAATCAGCAATTTGCTCCACACAATTAACCTTGAGGCCAGCAAAGCAAATACATTTTCACTTAAATGGGGTGTCTTGCAAATGGTTATATTTCTACTCTTTGTAATAGTGCCTTCAATAATCAAGCAGACAGGATTATCAGTGACCACAGATTACAGCATAAGGATGTCATTATAGTCCATTTAGTATCACTTTCTAGAGAAGGAGATAAAACTGCCTGAGGTTATTTTATTGTTATTATATTTTATTCACCTGATTGCAAATGTATTTTCATTCATTCAGCCCAAGATCGGTTTTTATTTCCAATTTTTCAGGTTGCACCTGAAAATGGGACACACACACAAACCCAGTTATAAGTATGATTTTAAGGACAACTTAGCTTTCTTTCAGAAAGAAAACCTTTAAGCATTCTGAAACTGATACTCCAAAGTCCTAGTGTTACATATGAGAAGTGGTAATTGGTCAACTTCTTATAGCAAAGAACTCTATTGGTGTTATTTGTGATAATGATGCTGTTATATCTTTTCCCCTTTCAGTTAGTGCAATAGAAACTACAGAGCTTAATCTGAATCCTAAAAACTGAACTGTAACGATAAGAGGAACATTCAGAATTTGGTATCACTCAGTTTCACATTTAACTCCAAAAAGTAACTTCTGAAACATAAGAGAAACTGCCACAGAAATTGTTTTGCACCCCAGAATGAAGGTGCCTGGTACTAAGGGCACATGAAGCATGTGTCAGTTACCTGCAGTGCACGACAAAATATGGCAAGAATATGCAGTATTTATTGCAAAGCAAGAAACTGTCAAATGGGCCAGTCAAGAAGAATTCTCTTTGTAGACAGACACCTAGATTAAGAGCACAGTAATGCCCATGCAAGGACATCTGCATAATTTGCAAATATCAAAAACTACAGTTTATGTTTCTGTCCATGACTATCCTTTCTATAACTGAGAAATTGATAAGGCTTAAAAGAAATGATTTAGCATATATTCAACAAATGGTTTTCTATCAAGGTATTATCACATTTATACTAATTCAAAATTATTCCCATCATAATAAAATGCTGAAACTTCCTTTTTTGTCTTATTACGTAGCTAAAATATGACTTGCAATGACTTTGAGACTGCCAGTTTTTTCTAAGATGTTGTTATCCCAAAATGAAAGACTGAGAAATTTTAGTTTTGTTTTAGTATTTAATAGATAAAATACATTAAGCTAGACATTTGCAGCAGTGCAACTGGATTATTAATGAGAATAAGCATGCTTCTTCTGTCCTTAATTAAGCTTACATTTCCGATCTGACTTCTTCTGCACGAAACTACTGCTAACAAAAGCAGTATTGAATTATTGCTGAGACAGGTATTCATGCAACTAGGAAACTCCTTTTTGAGTTGGATACATCTTCTTAAATAACAGAATTAATGCAAATGCCAAATGACAAAAATTGAAAAAGCAATGGCACATTTTTGATGCTTGGCTTAGGAAATGATGAAACAGGAGATCTAGCAAAAGAAAGGACTCAATTGTGACACACATATCGTAGTTTTGGTTAGGTTGTTTTTTTTTTTGTGCACAATACTTCATAGCATCTCATAAGGGAGGAATTTTCTATTTTCTTATTACTTTGTCAAATTCAAGTACCTCAGCATGGCACCATATCATTACTGAGGCAGGATTTACCTTGGTAAAGCCCTTGTATTGAAAAATTGGTTTTTAACTAGTCTTACAAGCAGACAATTTAATAACTAGCACCAATTGAAAAACTTGGGTAAATAAGTAGCGCAGGAAAAACTTACATTTCTTTAAAATAGTATAATTGCTTTGCAAAATATTTCAAATTTTTTCCTTTGATTATTTTTATTCACTATTCAGGAAGCACATTTAGTGTATCTAGCATACATCTTTCTGCATGAAATAAATATAAAACTTTCTTGTGTGCTGCTTTTAAGTGCATGGAACATTGAGCTATCCCTCTTCCTAGCAGTGCTCTTTGCATCTGCTCTTCTTTTTGTTTGAAGACCTCCTTCTCACAATATACTTCATAAGATTATTTTCAAACTCCATGATCAATGTTTTCCAAATATTTATAACAACCAGAAACACTGAGAAATTGTAGAAAAAGTAGTCAGGAGTAGCAAAGTTCCTCAAGGACATGAGCAGCAGCTGCAATCACTATCTAGAAGGATTTACTCTGGCCAGAGAACAGCTAACTACCTTTAATTGCTGTCACAAGCTCAATCTACTCTCCAGAGGAGTTGAGGAAAGGATGGGTATGGAGAGGAAGCGGGTGTTTACAGCTGCAGCCAGTTGCTACAGCTGATCCTTACTCCTGCATCCTAGCAGGACTGAACTGCAGCTGTAAGGAATCATTCAAGGACAGATGACCCCTCAAGAGAGAATTACCTTTTCAAAAAGTTTGATAAAAATAACATTATGATTTCAGAGGATGATACAAAATGTTTCTCTGCCACCTGTTTCTTGTCAAAAAGATGCTAGTCAGCATCTGTTGGAGGAAGCTGGACCCTAGACACTCAACAATTCCATTCTTAAACAGCCTCTTGTAGTCATTTGAAAGACAGCATCTTATGTATTCACAAGCAGCTCTGATGGGCTTTGTTGCTTTCACAGAATGAAGGGCTCTGTATCTGTCAGCCTCAGCTGGACTAATTTTCAACATTATACAAACTGAAGCACAGAAACAGCTTGCACTTATGAAGATGGTTCTTTCGTCAGAGCCTGGAAGATGAACCCCAGCCATGAAGATGGAGGGAACAACCTGAATCTTTAAGCACTGCCCTTTAGAGCTGACAGCTGCTGCAATCTCCTTTGTTTAAGAAGAATTTATTTTTGTGTTTTCTACCCTGACTTTAACATCTCTAGCTCAACTATTTTCCTACTAGTCATAATACTTCCAATGTCTTCAAAAGTTACAGAAATCATGCATCATAAGAAACACTTACTGGCATTATAAAACTAGTCCTTTTTTTTTTCTTAGCTAGTAGAGAACCTGATAACACAGAAGCTAATGCAGACACCAGATTTAGCATTTAGATGCCAACATTACCCTTTAATGCATGACTTGTGAATTCTAAAGGATTTTGAAATCTAATAGAGATGGAGCTTTCTTTTCTGAAAATTTAAAGTCCACTGAGGATGGGAACGAAATGTTTATTTTACCCTTCATACAAAAATAACTATGTACCCAATCTTGGCAAAGAGCAGCTTTGTTGATAAAATAATGTTTTACCAAGTTTAAAGGCATTGGTACGAGTAATATAATGTAGGCAAATTCTGTATAGTTAGTTCAAGTTAACTACAGACTATTGTAATTATAATAATCACTGCTCTTCTCTACTTCTAGAAGTCACTAGGTGAGACTATTTTCATCATTGAAAGACAACAGGAAAGCAACCGCATCCCTGCCTGCAGCTCCTTCTCCATATACAGGCTTACCAAGAACACAGCAAAATAACATAGGATATTGCCTTACCTCAATTTTTTCCCATATGGTTTCATAATTCTCTTGATGTTGTATATCTTGCATCAGTTGATGAATTAAAGCTGATTTATTTGAAGCAGAAGTCTCATTCCCAGTGGGCTGAGTGACAGCAGTCCTTTCTGACTTTTCTTCAATGTATTTTTTAATGCAAGATACAGGCATACAAAGATCTTCATCAGAGAGAATATCACTGAGAGGCCCAGATTCAATACTGTCACCTAAGGAGGATACTATATCACTTGAAGAGCTTGGTGAAATTCTACCCCTTTTTTTGTGCTTTTTTGTCTGATATGTTGGATACATTTCCGAATCTGAGTTCATTTCTGAGAGCTCCCAGTCATCAATGTTTTGAATGGTTTCTCTTCTGGGCTTTTGGGGCAGCAACTTGGTCAAATTTTCCAGTTTTAAAGCTAGTACTTCAGTCTGTTTGAGATGTGAAGGAAGTGCTAAATATTCATCAGATCCATACCACACCTCACTGTCTTTCCTGGTTTTTTGAGTATAGTGTGTTGTAGAGGATAAGCTTTTATTTTTCTTTCTCGTCAGTAGAAGAGGGGATGAGTTGGAAAGCTCAGAACCAGCTGAAGAAGCAGTCTTTTGGCTATGTGTTGGTGAACTAAAGGGCTCAGTTTTACCTTGTGATTGCCCATTTGGATCTTTCTGGTTACAAGAATCTGATGATGCAGAAGAATCTGTTTCTGTCTCCTCCAGAGATTGAGAGTTATGAGGAGTGATTCCATTCTGTAGAGAATATCCTCCTTTTTTGTCTTGTGTTGATGGAGCTGTTTTACAAATATTTCCAGGTGTTCTGCCAGCTTTCACTTTCTCTGGAGCATCATGACACTTCTTGTGCTTTGATGTTTCTTTACAGGTGTAGAAAGTAGACTTTCCTAGAATTATGGGACTGTCTTTAAAGTGATTCTTTATTGTGTAATCAAGATTTCTATCACTTATTGTATTTAAGCAATCATATGACTGACTAACTGCAAATGGACTGTTAGTATAGGGTGACTGTAAAGCTAGGCAAAGCTTGGACCTGTCTGGTGGATCTAACAATGAGGGTGTACTTCTACTCATTTCATTTTTCACTATTTGAGAGATTTGCCTTTTTAAATCATTAGCTTCAATACAATCTTTAAACACATCATCTTTCAGAAATAGACCTCTTTTTGGCAGTGTAGGCTGCGTAGGAGAGTCTTCATTATAGTTAAAGCAGTCTCTTATGGACCTCTTAGGAGTTGAGGTTTCACAGTGAGAGTGTTTGATTTTTTCACCGGTGTGCTGTGGAAGACTGCATTCTGGATTCTTTGATGTGGAAACTGGTTTGCTCTCAGTAGGTAAAATAACATTTTCAGAGCAAGGTCCTTTAGAAAGAGAGGAATTCGCAGAAAGAGATGCTAGTGAGAGATCATGTGGTGCTTTCTTGTCTTTGCTTTCTTCTCCATCTTTGGCTGAAAGAGGTACATGGGTTTCTTTCTCCTTTAATGCTTCATTACACTGGGAAGCAATGGAATCGGTAGCTACTGCAAGTAAACCCACACTTCTGATAAGTCCTGGAAATTCCTTATCCATCTCACTATAGTTCCAGGATTCAAATGATTTTGCTTTCCCTTGGCTGGAGGTCATATCATCCAGAGCACCAAGCAAATCCTCACTAGGACTGTAGTCAGATAGTTCAAATGCAGTAATACCACAATCCAGGGACAAGTAATTTTGAGAACATTTGATGGTTAACTGCCCAGAATCATCAACTTCAGTTAAAGAGTCAAGACGATCCTGAAATATATAAAGAAATGGTACTTTTTTAGTAAATTAATTTTCATACACAGCACACACAAAGTAACAAACTATCAGTTTCTGTATTTCTCTGCCTAACGTTAGAAATGCATTTATCACTGACCTGTCTGGTTTTGCAGCATCCTGTAGATGAGCCAACCATTATGAAGTATTTGGTAATTAAAAATGGCAGTAAACTGAAAAATGCTTCATTTCAGTCTGGTGCAGCAAGTTACCTAAGAACAGCCTAAAATGCTTTTGTATTGGTGTTTTCCTCATTAAATTCTGCTTTCAGTTCTACTTACTGTGTAGGGGGGGACTCAGAAATTCCATACAGCACGCTCATAGTATTTCTTGCGTTAACTACCTCAAACAGAGGGAGGGTATCTTGGCGACTGCTGAGTACACCAGTCTCCTTGTTAATCCTGTGTTCTCAAAAATCCATGCTGCTCTTGATTGCCAGAATGTTTTTTCCAAGCATCATGTAGCAATGACAGACATTTCTTTCCGTATTTATGAGATAGATGTTGCTAATTACATTTCACTTTTTTGTAGTATTATCACCTGAAAATTTATTTGCCAAATATTTAAAGCACAAATGAAGAACATCTCAAGGAAAGAAAACTATATCCAGAAATGCTAAACCTCTAACCTGCCATGTCCCCTTGTCAATATCTTCTCAATGGAAGTCCTTCAATCTCAGAAACATGGACATAGACAGAGGAGACCATCTCAGATGGAAATGAGATTTTAAGATCAAAGTCAAATTAATGTTTATGGTCTTACTTGAAGGACACTAAAAAATTCTGATGAGATTAAGATCCAAATACTGCGTGATACATAACAATCACAGGAAAATTGTGTTTAGTCTACAGTTTGTAAGCATATTTTTAGTAGATGTTCTAACACCTACACAGGCCTTCTGCTTACAGAGACTACTTAAAAAAAAATCACAGAGGGGAGAAATTCATGTTCATATATTCTAAATTTAATGCCTAAATCAGTATACTGGTTTTTTCTTTCCAGGTTTGATTTTCATAACAATTTTTTTAAGCAAACTCTTGAGTATCCACAATCAGTTCATGTCAAAATTATTCTCTGTACCACTATACACCTGTCTCACTATTCTGCCTAAACCCATAGTTTAAGGACCTTAAGCACCATGCCTGAAGAAGGTGCAATAACCACATAATCTCTTCATCTCACAATAAACCTCTTGGATTTGGTCTGAACAGGAATCATCTCAAAAAAGAAGGCTATTGTTTGCCAGCTTCTATAAACATCTAATGTTTGAGCCTTGTACTCTATCCACCCCCTTCCATTACTCAAAGTAAAAACAGAAAAAATCCTCCAACTACAGATATTATTTATAGAATAGATTGATTAGAAAGTTATTTATCAACCATAAGCTTGGACATTGAAAATATCTTTTATTTAGCACATTCCATCCAGATGTAGAACCTATGTCACAAATTGGACATTGTCAACAGTTCATAATTAAAAGAGGAATTTTCTATGAATCTGTCAAATTTCTATTTTGAAGCTGTATTTATTACGGAAAATAATGACTAAACAATGATCAGTATTACAGCTGCATTTTTCGCCTAATCTCAGGAAAAGATTACAAACTGTAAAACCATATATAAATCCAAACCCTTTCCAAGGCCCTAAAGGCCTTTATTTCTCCTGAATAATGAGATCCATTCCTTTGTCTCTTAAAAATGTGTTTATTAACATTAATAAAATTTACCATCATATCTTGCTTGGTTATTTTGCAAGCAGCGTCTGAAATGTGTGCTTCAGAGGAGCATTATTTAATACCAGTATTACCAAATTTTTATTGTTTTTATCTCAGAAAAATGTTTAATTATTTCTATGGCTACCAAAAGGAAAGACTTAGTTAAATTTTTTTTTCCCTTTTCACATAGTAATGCTTCCTGTAAAGGTCTATAGGCTCTTTCCAATACCTTCTTATATTTATATTTAAAGCAGTAAAATTCTGCCTTTTTTTTACTCTTTCAAATGAACATATTTAAGTTGTAAGGCATTTCTTCTGTGATTTTACCAACTGTTGGAGAACCAGGATTTACTGTATTTTAGCATAGCCTTTACTGATCTTTTCCCTATTTCCTGGCTTTATCAATTCTAAAATAAAACTCACAGGTTAGGTTTAGTTGGACAGAATTCAGGCTGCACAGAACTAATTTTTCTCTCTTTCTGAACATCTCTGGGTAATTCCTGAAGGAAAAGTGGTCCTTCAAAATCCCTACTCTACAATGTTTTTTATTAAAACAATTATTTTCTTAATTCTGCATCTCCATCATGGCAGAAAGCTTGCCTTACTGTTTCCTCTATTTCCTCCAAGACAAAACGCTTTGTGTGCCCTTTCCTTCTGGCATCCTATTCAGTGTGGCACTGCTGGGATAGCCTAAAGCACAATTATTGCCTGCCCAGTTAATGAGCTGGGTATCTAACCAAGCCAGTACAGTCTGTGCTGTACACTTTTGTGTTTTGGTAGCTAGTCTACCAGTGTTATCCCTGTTCATTATGTCAAGGACAGCTTGTGCATACTTATGGGTGTTACAGCCACAGTGTAAATATAGCCCAGATGGGACCGTTGCACTGTGACTACTGTGGACTTAAGGAGTGAGCCAAACATTTTGTGAAATTATAGGTTCATGAGCTACAGAAAAGCATAGCATTTGAAATTTGTTCAGATCAAATTTCCATCTGGCTCAGCATCCTGTCTCTGCATCAGTTCAAAACATTCTCTGGTAGCTGAGCTATGAGACGTGGGTCTACATACATGGCCCTTCTCCACACATTTCTACCTGCACTCCCAGCTTCTACCAATGAGCAGCATAGGAACTTCCTCATCTGGAGGTTTAACTTTTGCATCATCCTTGTATCTTTGCTTAGTTTTCACATTTATTTTTTTATCTTTTCTGCACTTCTAAGTGTTCTACTCTAGTGAACTCCAAAATAGAAGTCTTTGTTGTGTGTGAAAGTTTCCTTCTGTAAATTTAAATCAGATGATTTCTCAATCTTAGGAGGAAAAATAAACTGCCATTCCCGGTTCATAATCCCAAAGGTGTACTGAAAATTAGTGGAATGATTCTCCAAGGAATCCATATGGGTAAAGTTTTCTAGGTTTGCTCAAACAGACTCCTGATTCACCTATGCATGAAAATCCTTAACAGAAAATATTTGTATCATGAGGCACTCACTAGTTCCACAATGTAGTCCTGCCTGGGAAGGGATGGGGGGGAAGAAACACCAAAAAAAGGTGAATAAGAGTAGATGCAATTGTTTCTACATAATATTTATTTATTTATGTCCATCAGTTAGCTGCTACCATTATACCTGATAAAAAGCTTAAATACCTGAAAGTTAAAAACCACAGAGCAATTTCTGTGAACTTCTTAAAGCAATAGGGCAGAAACTCTATGTAAACTTTGTATCCCTGCTATTGATAGCCATTAATTTTATCAAATATTCTTTATGTTTTAATTGGGGTGGGTAAAAAGAATTATGTCAGGATATTTTATCTTTTATATTACCATGTAAGCCTATCTGGCAACATATGTTTTACCCACTGAAAAATAATCTTTCCTTCTCCAGTCAGTCCTCTCCTCCATTGGAGGGATGTTTTCTATAGCAGTCATAATCAGATCCAGATGGAACATTTCCTGTTTCTTGGTATCTGAATCTGCACCTTCTTTATGTCTTGAAATTACCATGCACATGTCATAAAATAATGACTTCACACTAATTCACCAGTCTGGATATTAAGACAAGTGTAGATTTCCTTCAGACTTGCCAGAGGTTTACCAGCAACACCAAAGCAGAAACTGAATCTGAAGCACCAAGTATGTATACATCAAGAAGAGGAGGTGTGAAAGGTGGGCCTGGGCATCTCTGAGCATTGATTTCTGGCACCCACCCTGTTGTTCCAAAGACAAATATAAAACCCAACAGGAAGCAGACAAATATGCACATTCTCTTTGAACTTGAGTGATAATGAAATTCAGGTCATGTTTAGGGGACTTCTGACTTCCTCTGTAACACACATTGCAGAATTCACTGCACTGATCTAGAGGTCTCTTTCTGTAAATGCACCTAATCCTGACAAAAGCATTTGATCTTAATCTTAGGACTTTCATCAAATGAAAAATCTTCTACATACTATCAATCGTTAATTACCTAAATTATTAAAACTGTGCATCTTCTTTAAGTTTAAAAAATTAGGCCAGTAGTGTCCTTCTAAGTAAGCTGATTTAGTAATGATAAATTCAAAGGAAAAGACTTTTTAGTTACATGAACCCAGATTTACAAACCATTTACATGTTTGTGAATTTGACATACTGTTGAGTAAACAATGTATGATTTGTGCAGCATTGTTTCTCAGACAAAATGTGTGACTGTTTAAAGTCATGTTGCAGAACTGCCACTCAAATTAAAGCCCATCCTCCTGCTATAAAGCAATGCAGACCTAGCCTGGAAATTGGCTATAAACCTTAAATACTGAGTGACCAAACCAACAACTTTGGAACAGATGAACCTCTGTAAGTGTTTCAAATCCTTTCCGAAAAATATTTCCATCAGGAGAAAACATTGCTAGCCTCTAGCATGACATTTCTGAAAGTTGACATTAATTTGCACTAATTTGGTTCAACAAGAAGAGATATCAGCCAAAGACATTTAAAACAAACTTAGCAAAATATCTAGAAGACAAGTAAGCCATCCTTAAAATTGTCATCCTAGCAATTTTAAATGTGCAACATTCTCAAAATTTGATTTAGTTATTATACCTCTTTAGTCTCTTCAGAAAATGCTTGCAGAATATCAGTCTGCCTGGTGTAGTTTCCATTGGCGTCTTGTAGTCCCTGGAGAATACGCTCTCTCAGAACCAGAACAGAAACTCGTAGCTGGTGCCAGAGTAGTTGTACTGTATGGATATCGACTATCACATTGACAGAGTAAGACAGAAGCTTCAGGGAAAACTCAGTCTCTAGTAGAGCATGAATTTGTTCAACATGATCGGATATATCTTCACAAATATCCTGTAATGGAAAAATAAAGTAGACATTTAGCTACAGGCATGGTCCTTTCATGGATCAGCTCTGCTTTTCATGTACTTTTAATTAAATGATGAATAGATTATTTCATAGAGGAAAGATACTGTAATTAATACATTAATTACGTTCTCTTTTATTTTTATTTTTTTTTAATTCATGGCAATGCTACAGCAACTGAACCAGCAGCTGTCTGTTCTCAATACTGCTCAGTAAGTGCAGAGACAGCATACAGTAAAGAAGGATGGCACAACAAGATCACATGAATCAGAAGCAGAAAACTAACACCATAAGGTGACATTCTAGAAGACAGCAATAAGAATGAAAGTAATAATATTGCCACGGCTGTCTCCGTCTCTGCTCCACACACATGCACACCAGTTGAAATGCGAAGAATCTGGTCTGTGCCATCATCAATAAAATTCATTTCATCTAGCCTCTATAACCAAGTAGCGCAAAAGTCATTGTGAACAAACTATTTCTGTGACCCATTGCTGACTGCAGGGATGAGAGGGCTTTAAGGGCTTTAAGGTTTGCATAGTCTTGTCCTGGGCTTAAAACTGAACTGAAGAAGATTGATGGAAAAGGAGAAAGAGGGAAAACAGAGAAGATGTGAACAATTGTGTTAAGAAAGAAGAAAAGAGAAAAGTTACCAGGTTATAAAACTAAGGTTTTGATGGGATGGTATCCTCCAAATTTAACAATGAATGCTACTGATTGCTAAACTGTGCTGAATACAGAGTAAAATCATTTCAAACTACTCCTAATTTTCTTTGTGAAAGGATAAGTCACAATACTAATGAATATTTAGGCATATGCTACTGAGCAAACAACACTATTGGGCTATTGAGCTTTGTAACAACTCTGTTTGAAAACTATGTGTAAAAAGCCTGTTATAAACAAGTAAGGAAATTTTGATTAAAACACTGAAAAAAAAATAACTGGGTCCTAAGAGCTTTTTTCCTACATCTCTGGCATATATTTAAAGGTGACTTAATAGCATATTTAAATACAACACCTATTTCTTAAAAACATATAAATTTAATTCAAACCTTCGGAAAGGTTTTTATATACATCAATAAAAACGAGAAAATGATTACAATGAAGACTTACTACAATGAATAATGAAACTTTATTACAATGAAGCAGTCTCTGATGATACCCTTGTGGTTTTGTACAGCAGTAGCATAACAGGAAAATCAGTAAATCTGATTATTTATAAAATTATAATACTGTACACTAATTTCTATCAGTTCAGATTTGGTATCTTTCAGTCTGAAAGTAAAGACAAATTATTGCTTATGTAATTGTACGTATGTAACAAATTAAGCCAAAATAAAATATCTAGATAATATTAAATAATTCTGTACAACAGATAGCACAATATTAGCTATTATCATTGAGTGCAATTGGTACTTACTCATTTTAATAAAGCACTGACAATTACATCAAGTTCCCTGCAGGAGCAGTTCTCAGAAATGCCAGATGAGCACAAAAGTTTTGAGTTTCAATGAGCAGAGCGTTGGGACTGCCATGAGAGAAAGGCAGTATCTCCTCAGTTCCCTTGCTGTAACAACCAGAATCTATATTTGCAAGTACGATACACACAGCTTTGTCTGCCAACATCTAGAGCTGCAAGTGCTCAGGGATTCAAATATCTACACGCTTTCAGGTGAGCAAATAGATGCTCTAATTACTAGATTAGTATGTTCATCTAATTCTACAGATACACAGAGAAAGCTAAAACTCTTAGCAAAATATTTTCCAGGCCTTGGAAAAAGTTATTATTATCCATTTAGTTATTATTGTCCATTCATCCAACTACAACTGATACTTGACTGAAAAACACAGCTGTAATTCTATGTTGTTTCAAATGCTTTAAAGAATATTTCTAGTGAATTAGTTTGACTGAATTTGCATTCAGTTCTTCAAGATTGTCAGTCTCTTTTTCTTCTTGGCCATAATGCAGTTTAATTTTCATTCCAGGGATAAAAACATAAATTGTTGCCCAGTAACTGTAGTTTTTTTAATTAGGCACAATCTATAGAAAAATACTTAATATCTCTTCATTTAGGCTATTTATGTGAATGAGCTTAAGGATGTGCCAAACTGCAAAAATAAATTTTCAGTATTTTTCACGTTCACATACACAGGTACATGCTGAATTCAACTGCCATAAGAATTCTCAGAGTGGTAGAAAACACAAAGCCGTAAGAGGAAAGAATTAACAATGAGCAAGTGTCTCCTGACAACTGTTAGATAATGTACTGAAAATATTGGCTAATGAATCTAGATAACACTCTAAATTAAGAATTCAGACTCACACTTCAAAAAAGTTTTCTCTTGATCTCCCATTATGCTAGCTACCAAAGCATCTCAAATTTCTGAAACTTTCCACAACAAAACAGACAATTTTTTACTGAAATGCAAATCCCAGTACCACTAGAGGTTTGAAAGAAGCAGATATTTAAGGACATACGCTGTTAATTTTTACATCCTTTCTATAAGTTGCTCATTTTCCTCAAAAAGCAAAGTCTACTTACTTACAGACTACTGCAGGCACAGCAGAGTGCTTTATGTACTAACAACATAATTAACAGTTCCTGAGATTCAGTAACATGGAAAGAACATAAGGCCAACCTTGATCACTTCCAAATAAAGGTCACATACTCTGACCCTAACATATAAGACTACCATCTCAGTAAAAGACAAAGTACCAGCTCGTAAAGGATTTAGGTTATGAACAGAATGGGTGGCCAAAAGAGAGGAAGTGAGTATATTTTCTGAGTGGTTGAATGATCCAGGAAGGAAATCAAGTCCCTACATACCTTTTCATAACATATAAAATCTGAGCTCCATTTTCTGACTGTATCGTCAGCTCTCTCTTCCTTCTGGCCTGGAATTAGTACAGCTTTGAATGGTCACTATAGTCTAGTCTTTACTTATATGTGAGAATTGAAAGGATTTTTCCCTTTCTGATAAGTATGTTGACAGGATGTAATCTTTAGGGTTGTTGGTTTGGGAGTTTTCTTCGTTCTTTTCTTATGAGATGAAAATCTGATTGAAACACTCAGGATGTCTGATTATGTACAGTCCAATATTTCATATATGCTGTGTAGTCCATCTGCATATGCACTCTAAGTCTGAAGACAGACAAAAGTAGGCTGGATTCATTGTGTGCTTAGAGAGCAGTAGTGTCAATGCAACTCTCTTACTGACCAGGCACCAGCTGCTGATGTGATATCCAGTAGCTGAGCAGCAGTTCCTGATATTTCAGACTCCACATGCATGACACACTGTGGTATATCAGTCTGTTGGGTATTTCTTAAAAAAAATGTGAGGAGTCATAGGCTGACATTCCCGCATCACATAGCAATCTTTTGGTGGGTGACTTCTATTTCAGCTGAACTTTTAGCCTTTGTCAAAAGAAGTGGATTTCATTTTACCACAGATCAGGTTCCTGGATAAAATGAGTTAGGCTTTGGTTTGCGGGAAGTCTATCTTATATAAAGTTGGTAAAAAAAATTAGGTCCCTATTGTTATCCTCTTTGGTTTTTAATTGTCATATGATGATGTGAAGGTGAAGGCTGTGCAAAGGACAGAAAAATAGCTGTGTAAAGGCTAACACTAGCCTTCAAGAGAACAAAATTATGAAGAAATGATAACTTTTGCCAAATAACTTCATGCTGATTAGTCTTCAGCAGAAGGACATTAATAAAGCTGCATCCTATTTACTTGCATCTCTTCTCTACACTTGCCTAAAGCAAACCAGCATATTGAGAGGAAACAATATAATGTCAAATCCAATTGGCATTGTGTAGCACAACTTTTCTTACTACAGTACTTGATGTCCAGATTTACTTATAATTCAGAAAAATTAAATAATTATATCTGGCACAGCTGTAAATTTAATAATTTTCTGTAATAATTAATGCAGTTCAAATACTGTATAAAAATGTCATGTTATGTAAGTTCATAATTTTACTGAGGCTCAATATCAAGATCTGGTACAACATGGCCTCATTCTCCTCATTCTTCCTAACTTCTTGTTGGTTACTTAGCATTAGGTACAGCAAAACCAGCAGAACATTGTCATGTGCCTTTTTACACTTTGAATTTATAAATAAAGAATAGCAGTATTACAAGGTAGTACCTAAATGCTGTCATGAGTGCCAGTTGCTCTTACCAGAAGTGGCAGAAAGATAAAATAAACCATGTTCTTTTAAGTAATAAGAAAACAGCATTTATCTATTGACATCTATTTGTAAATATATGCCAGGTCAATGGCGATTTTATTTTTTGTCAAAAAATTTTTTGCCAAAAAAAAAAATTATAACTTGATTTTTAGAAAGCACCATTTCCAAAACCATTTCTTATAGTCATTAATCTCACACATCTACCAGGGCATTTTTATTTTTACACAGTTTCATAGGGGTGTTAAAGATTTTGTCATCCTCTCATGGGCTTTCCTGTAGAAATTCCTGTGGAATTTCTTAGGCTACAAGGGTTGTACCCATTTGGCTGCCAACTGCCCACTTCACTCAGTCTTCCAGACAGCTGATCCTGTAATTTGCAGCTGCTGAATCCATCAGCCTCCTCACAGCCCTCCACATCAACTAAAATATCCTGAACTGCGAACACTGCAGTAGATGAAGAAAAAGTGCATAAACAAACCCTCAAGAGTCAATGAAAACAGCTTTGATGTCAACTTTTAAGAATATTTTCTCTCTGGTCTTCAAGAAATTGTGTTAACATGTACATGAAAATACCGAAAGATAAAAGGTTGCCATATGTTTCTTTAGAGTTAGTATCAGTGACAGAGAAGCTATTCTGGAGATTTCTATTCTTTGATCTTGCCGTAAAACCTCAGCAGGAAAAAGAGATTGCCATTGAGTCTTATGAGTACTGTACATGCAAACATAATCTATGATTTAAGATATTTGGTCTTTCCTTTTAAGTGCATTTTAATTCCTCAGAAGACAAATATT